CCCTCTGTCCACCATTCTGAGAATGGGGTGGGGGAAGCTTATGGGGAGGCTGAGCAGGCCCCGGTGCAAGCCAAAAAAGGTAAAGGTAAAGGTTCCCCTTGACAATTTTTGTCCAGTCGTGTCCGACTCTAGGGGGCGGCGCTCATCCCGCTCTTCAAGCCATAGAGCCAGCGTTTGTCCAAAGACAATCTTTCCGTGGTCACATGGCCAGTGTGATTTAGACGCGGAACGTGGATTCGATCTTACGACTGCTTGGTCTTCTGACCCTGCAGCACAGGCTTCTGCGGTTTAGCCCACAGCGTCACCACGTCCCTCCTGGTGCAAGCCAACGAAAGCATAATACCTAACATAAGGTGTCCAACATGTTTAAATACAACTTGTCAAATTGTGCTATTAAAAAAACTGAATCTAAATAATAATACTTGGAGGGGTAGACAGAGGGAGAGACAGGCAGAGACAGGCATGGAAAAGAGGCAGCCTATGTGGCTTTGGGCAAGCTGCAGTAGTCCCAGGGCACCCCCCAGAAGAAGGGAACAGTGAGCCACTTTTGAGTACTGTATTCTGTACCTAGAAACCCTCAAAAAGTCACAATGGATGACACATCATCATGATGATGATCATCATCATCATCATCAAATAACTTGTCTCTATAAGCACAAATGACTAAACAGGGGCAATCATACTTTTGGGCAAATTATGAGCAGGCAATACATTGGGAAAGACAATAACACTAGCAAAAGTTGGAGGCAGCAGGGAAAGAGGCAAATCAAACAGGAGATGGATCCATAAAGGAAGCCATGGACTCATTTTGCAATACCTAAGGGGGATCGTTAATGACAGGATCTTGTGGAAGTGACTGATTCATAGGGTCAGCACAAATTGGAAGTGACTAAAAGGCATTCGACAAAAAAAAAGTGTATGACACGATTCCCTTCCATTCTACATACAGAGCTTATCTGGACTTACTTCAACATTTGCAATGGAACACACACCACATACATACGAGAACACCAGGTGAGTTAAGAAGGGGGAGAACATCCTTTGTGGAACACACATCACATCCTTCTTCAAGAGAATGGGATGACTAGGGGACTCAGGAGAAACAGGTGGGGCTGTCATACTCACTCACTCACATATTCAGCCCTGAGGTGGCCACCTCACTGTGCCTAATGGCCAGGCCTAACTTGACAAGGAGCACTAATCTCAACCAGCCCCTTAAAAGCTGGCAAACAAGGGGCAAAAGGAGAAGAAGAAACAGAGAAGCGGGATGTAGGTGGATGACACGGTTTAAGTAATAAAGAGATAAATAGATGAAGTCCATACTGAATACATACCATACAAATAAGTACATAGACATGCACATATATACACACACAAGCTTTAACCCTTTTAGACAGGCAAGCTGCTCAAAACCATGCCCATGAGGCCACGAGGGTAAATAATGTCCTTTTTCAAAAATTGGAAAGAGGAAAGGAGACCACCTAGCCATTTAAAGACGGGAAACATGGCACATCCTACACATCTCACTCTGTCTCTTTCTAACACACACAAAGAGAGAGAGAGAGAGCTAGTGGACACATCCAATGTGCAATCAGAGAGCCCCAGCGGAAACGTCACAGCTAATTTCATTAGCAACATCTCCGAGCCATGCCTGATGACAGTGGCGGCTTGGTTATGACACTCCGGCATTGACTGGAGAAGCCATCGGATCCTGTCCCGTCCAACCGTGCAGCTGGAAAGGGAGAAGGAAGGCATGGGGACAGGGAGAAAGCGAGGAGCTGATCTGGGGACCAAGTTTGCCCCACACACACCGGAGGCCGGGACGGGGCAGTGACCCATCCTGCTCAACCCCCCCCAGAGGGTCTGATGTTGTAGACAAGGCCCTGATCCTACACCGGATAGGACATCTTAGAAGGAACCACACTTGGGGGGGGGAGAGAATGAGTTCCCCTGAAAACATCAAACAGACTGTAGAGAGAAACGCTGGAGGGAAATATCATTTGTGAAAAGCGGGGAAATAATCAAGGAAAGGGAGATTTACTTCTGGGTCTATGACATGCACACAGGACATGAAACACATCAGTTCTGGGCGATCTCTCCCCCACAACACACACAGATAGCCAGAGGTAGATAAATAGACACATGCTGAAGGACACCCCCGAGTCCCTCTTTTGCATTCCAGCACAATAAAGTTTATGCACCCTGGGGGAGGCTTTTTTTTTTCACCTTATCTTGCAGCAGTATTACTAATGGTGTAAATATTCTATAAATATACGTTGGTGGAGGAAATGCTGCTGGAGTGTACGTAAGTTATTTTTGGGCTGCCTGGACTGCGAATCACTCTGCTAAAACCATGATTTGTGCTAAGAAATGCTAACAGAAGGTTATGGGCCCAGCGCTGCGCCCTGCGATACCTGTGTTTTTTTTTTTTTTTTTGTTCCCTTATTTTATATTTCACACATCCACAACTGGAGCGCTTCTTTGCTTTCAGCTGTCATCACTTTATCCAGACCCGAAAACATGCAGTCAAAATGCCAGTGGGTCCCAATAGCCGAAGATCATGTAATTTTGCCTTTCCATCTCCAGCTGTTTCTGCTACAGGCACAAAGAAAAATATAACGTGTTAGAGTTTGTCAGTGTTCACACTTTCACACTTCAGTGAGATTTAATGAGGGTAGGAATGATGCAAAACTCAGAAGAAACTTTTACTACCAGGAGTTCTAATTACGGCTTCTCTCATTTGAGAGAACTAAAACTAATTATTTCTTGGCAGGATTTTTGTTGCCTCCTTTAAACAATGTCAAGAAATTTCCACACATCATCTCTCTCTCTCTCTCTCTCTGTCTCTCTCTCTGTCTCTGTCTCTCTCTCTCTCTCTCTCTCTCTCTCTCTCTATCTATCTATCTATCTATCTATCATCTACCTGCCTGCCTGCATCTGTCTAAAACACACAGACACAGAGACAGACAGACAGACACAGAGACAGACAGACACACGCACACACGACACAGATACAGACACACACACACGCAGCCTGAGCCCCTCTGGCTGGGAAGGGACCGGAGGCT